TTTTTGTGTCTTTGCTGAGTACAAGAAGTCGGTATTGTGTATAAACCGAACTATCTTTGCATATCTGTGTTGAATGTGCGTAAAAAAGATCCCCGTACAATAATAAATTCTGCTATTTATAGTCTTGTGTGCTTGACTTTTAGTACGAGGTAGATATGATCGCATTTAATGTTGAGCAGCTTTTTGTTAGTGTTATATACTGAAAGCTTGGCTTTGCATGTTATTACACATTTACCCTTTATGAATGAGAATCATGTTAGATTAAACAAGTTCTACGTTCTGTTGTTCTGCACTTAGATAGGGTGGGTCGTCATCGGGCGAACCGAAGATCACTCTATCAGTCACTTGCGAACCAGAATAGTTGTTCACAACCTAGATGGACATGAACACCCCATCCGAACTGTTGTAGTGTCAACTGTACAGTTTGTATTGACTGATTAGTTGCACTAGTACATTTATGTATTGAACAGGATCCCAGAGAGGAGAATTTCATTTTATACTGATCGTCGTAGATGAACTAGGCCTCGGTTAATTACTGCGTTCTCTTAACCCGTAAGATATTAAACAAGTAGATATATATAACATATATTACTTTGATTCACATGGGTGAGGTTCAGTTCGCTGGATTAATATTCCTACTGTTTTGAGTAATATTATTATATATAGGATGTGCTGTTAGGATATTTACGGTCACCATGTGCGTTAGTTTGATGATGTCCCCGGAGTGAGTTCATGAAGGATTGTTATGCTAAACCCTGCAGGTGGATTAAGTTCCGGCATAATAAGAATGTGATGGACGAGCGCTAGCTTCGGTGAAATAATAATAAATTAATTAATTCTTGATTGTCAGTAATCGAATTAATTAATGGACATTATATCTTAAACGTGGGGAGGTAAATCGAGTAATTATTATTGGAGTCTCAAATGTAATTTGGGATAGAAAAAGGGAGTGCAATAATATAATGTTGGTGGCCCATTAATATTATTTAATTAATTAGAGGAGTAGGCTTGGCCCACAGTTAGTCTAATTAATTAAGGAGCCCTTTTCCTAATCTCCTAAGGGTCCCTACTGTAGCTCTATATATACATCATTAAGCTCATGAGAAGGGGATCCCAATCTCATTCTAACGAGACACGCCCCACGCCTCTCTCTCTAGATCTCATTCGAGCTTTATCTTCTTCTTGTTGCTCTACTGGTACAAGTAGAAGAAGGGTGTATTGAGTAATACAGTAGAAGATCTGTAGGTAAAACGAGACGAAATATATTTTGATCTACAGAACTAACCGGAGGTCCGATTGAGACGCACAGCATACACAGACGACCGTCTCGACGAGAGCTTTCCATTGTCGCCGAGATTGCGGATTCCGATGCCGCACGCGCCCTCACGCGCCGCCGGAAGCTCCCAGGCTGCAAAGTTTCGTTTTGATCTGTTTGCATCCGCTTGATCCGATTTTTATCTGATCTTGTTCGTGCAACCCAAGACGTGATTTGCGGTCAATCATTTGCTGTCAACCGTTCGTGGTCAGCCAGATCTACATAAATTTTAAGCCGTAAGTTCTCTACGTCAAACCTTTATATCCGCTGCGCATAAGTTTACGTTTGCTATTGAATTCGTGGCTTGTACATAACGAGATCCTCACAGATCCCTACACTTTTTGAAGCGGTCTGTTGGTCAAGGAGGGAACAACAATGATTGCAAATATAGTATGTGGTCCAATTGTATGAGCGCTTTGTCACCTGCTTTCGGCTTCGACCATCTCGGACCTCGGTTTGTGAGGATAATCTTCGAAAAAGAACCTTTGAGAAGTTGGTTGTTTGTCTTTAATGCGAGGTCAGTTCGAAGCTAAGTGTGAAGTCGGTTCGCGCCTATGTATGAAGTCGGTTTGATACCCAGCTTGTTCCGAGTTGTGTTAAGATTGGCGTATGAACAGGTTCGAGGAATAAACTCTGGATAACATATGTTAATCTTTGCTTTAAATTCTGCTTATCAGGTCGGTTATTAACAGATATAATGAATAAATCGGCCGAACACTATTAAGTTTGTAGGATTAGACGAGCGATGATATTTTTCACTTCGCCACATAGGAACCACCATTTAATAAAAATAACGCGTTTTAATATTATAGTATCGAAATACTTATAATGAAACTTATTGTATGAAATAACGATACTTGTTTCATTTTAGAAATAGATAGAATGAATAAATCGGCCGAACACTAGTAAGTTTGTAAGATTAGACGAGCGATGATATTTTTTACTTCATCACATAAGAACCACCTTTTGATTAAAAATGAACCGTTTTAATATTATAGTATCAGAATACTTATAACGGACCTCACTTAAGTGAATCGAAGTAATATGTACTGCATATATATATATATATATATATATATATATATATATATATATATATATATAGAGTTAGGATCACATGAGAATGGCAGATAGTGAAAGAAATAAGAATGAATCTGGATCATGGGATCAATCTTATCCATGGTTAAGATGAAGTCAAAATATGGTCAATCATTAATGGCAATGTGGTAATTATTTGATCATAGTGGGTCAAATATATCCATTTAACCCATAATTAAGGGTAGGTTGGGCAATACACATATATTTATGTGGGACCCACTCACAATTTAAATATATATTTTTTTCTCCCATTAATCATCACCGTCTTTCACTTCTTTTCAAGATTTGCAGATCACACACATGCACACACACACACACACGAACACACACTGACACACAAACACACACACGGGAGGCCGCCGACTGCCGACTGCCGCCGCGCCTCCGCCGACTGCAGCTGCGCCTCCGCCTCCGGCACCACCTAACAGCCACCGGCCACCTCCGCCTCCGACTCCGACTCCGCCGTAGCCTGAGACTACCGCCGTCCACCAGTGCAGCTCCGCCGCCCACCGCTGAGGTTCCAACGAGATGCCACCGACAACTACCACTCTGCTACCATCAAACGAGACATCCGCCAGTCCCTCGCCTTTCTTAGCGGCCGCCCGTCGCCGGCTCTGGACACACGGCTCAACTCGCCGTCGGCCGGCCGTTTTCGTCACTTGAATCGGAGTGTTTCTGGTTTCGGGATTCTCTTTCCGGCGGGACGACGAGACTTTGCTGATGATGATACTCGCCGGCGGCAATATGGTGAAGGTGCGGTGGTGAAGGTGGTCTGTGTCGGGCATGGGGAAAGTGTACAGATTATGTTTATGGGCATGTTAATATAAATTAGAGTAATTATAGGGACCATTAATTAATTTTAAAAACTATAATTATAGTTATAATTAAATTTATAGGGACCATTAATATGGCGGGTATGGGGGAAGTGTACATATTAATTGTAGGGACCATTAATGTGTTAAATTTAATTTATAAAAAAACATAATAAATGCAGAATAAAAATAAATAAATTGTAGAATATGTGGATGGAATAAAATATGAATGTAAAATAATATTTTTAACATAATAATATTTTTTATAGTTCGATTGATTTGTCTTGTTTTTATTTTAAATAAAGTTGACATCGATAGTCATTAATGTGCTATTCGTCGAACGCTATTGTGCACTGATTCAGTTGCTATTGTGAATTCTGAACAGATCGAACATTTATCTCAAACTAGCTTGAAATTGAATGAATTACTGGGTTTATCGGGCCGGTTAACCAAATTAATTCAAATAACAAAATAATTTATTTTTTAATTTATAAAAATCATGTAGTAAAAACATATAGTATTTCAATAACTATTTATAATAGTTTTATATTAGTTGTGTAAAATGACATAATATGTTTAAAAATCATAAAAGATAATGTGCATACCCATAGACATTAATGTGCATTTGGTCTAACATTAGTGTGCAATTAGTGGAGCTAAGTAAATTTTATGTGCATTTTAATTTTAGTAAAATCTAATAATGTGTATTTATATTAACATATTATGCATTTATTAAATTGTTTATCGCATAAAATTTACTTTGTAATTATAAATATTTATTTATTAATATTATATATTATTGTTTATATGTAATATAAAAATAATATTTTTATATAATTTGGTGGTGTGTTATTTTTTTTTTAATATTTTAAATAGAGTCGAAACCAAATTGAAATAAACAAATTTTTAATATATGTGAAAATGCACATTGTTATGCTAATATAAATGTGCATTATCAAATGCTAATATAAATGTGAATTATCAAAGTGCACTTGAAGTGCCTCTACCTTTTTTTTTATAACGGAAATGTATGTAGTATTTATAATTGTTTATTCAATATTTTATAGTATTGTTTGTAGAAAATAAATAATATACATATATAGATTAAAAAAAAAATTAACTTTTATATAGTTCACTTGTTTCTATTATTTGTTCTTTTTTTTGTTTTCTTTTTTTCTTTTTTTGTAAACAAGGCCGAAATTGTACCAAAATAATCAAATTTTAATATTTGTGAAAATATGTCTTGTTATGTTATTGTGCATTTTGTCTAATACTATTGTGCAATATGGCTGTCACTAACGTGCATCATATTTTACACTATTGTGTATTTTGCGTGCGAATTTTTTTGTATGTGCGATTCCAAACTAAAATTGAACCAAAATAATTAAATTATTGTGTCGGTTAATTGAAATAATTTATTATTAAAATATTTTTTATTTAATATTTTATATAATTTTTGATTTTGAAAATAATAATATATAAATGGATAAAAGTATGTCTTTATATACATATAAAATAATATTTGTATATTTCCTATAAATCACAAATTCAGCCCATGGGCTTAATTGGAATATAGTTAAACTTATTAATTTACAATTAGGTCTCTTCAAATTATTTAATTTACAAAAACAAGCCCACCCCTTCCAACCATAATTTCAAAAATCGGGCATCTTCCTCACTCCCGAAATTGCTTCTGTCCATGTCGCCGGACGGCCCGGACATAATCGAGCGGTGGAGCATCATGGTCGTGGAGTTCCCTCGAACAGCCGGAGCAGCTAACTTCGCCGCGGGCTCTCTTCCCCCACCGCACTGACCCAAGAACAATCCCTCGTCGGAAGAGAGATGAAGGACGACGCGGCGGATTTGGTGCGGCGGTCATGGGTGGCGGATGTCGGGTTGATGAAGGAAGAAGCGGCGGGGCTGAAGCGGCTGTCATGGGTGGTAGACGTCGGTGCCGGCTCTGTGACGGGAATCTTACTTACCGGCGGCGCTGGAGCGGCGGATGACGGAGAAGTCAGAAGTCGGCAGTAGGGACCCTCGGTTGGCGTCCAATGGGACAGAGCCGCCATGGATTGGCCGGCGGGGACGAGAATCGCGTGTACGGCGGCGGAAGTAGAGCCGGTGGAGGTCGGCGGTGGAAGTAGCGCCGGTGGAGGTCGACGGCGGAAGTAGCACCGGTGGAGGTTGGCGACGGGAATGGCGTCGTCGACCGTGAGTCCCCATTTGTGTGTGTGAGAGAGAGAGAGAGAGAGGAGAGAGAGAGAGTGATGTTACCTTGGGAAGAGAGAGAGACGTACTGGTGTGTTTATCTTTAATGTGTAGGTGTGGGTGGGCCCAACAGATGTAGATGGTTGAATAAAGACCACATTACCCTTAATTATTCTTAGTGGGTTTAAAATTTTGGATTTTTTTAAACTGTTGGATGATCAGATTATGTGGCTAGGATTTATTCTTATTTCTTTCACTGAGTTCCATTCTCACCGGAGCGTGACCCTATATATATATATATATATATATATATATATATATATATATAGGGATTGGTTCCAATGCATCCAATTATATAAAGTGAGGACGTGAGACTCGTTTTTAGCTACAAGATTTGGTACATCATGTGTTGCCAAGATTTACTCTTTTCTTTTTATTATTTTAATTATTCAAATATTATTTTGACCCGTTCACTCCGGCGTTGACCGTTGACTTCCAGCGTTGACCATTGACAACTAACCTTCCAACTAGGCTAGTTCTATGTAGTTGCTAGGCTAGTTCTCTGTAGTTGCTAGGTTAGTTTTCTATAGTTGCTAGGTTAGTAGTTGCTAGTAGGGGTGTTCACGGTCCGGTTTTAACCGAAAAAGACCGTCAATCCGGACTGCGGATCGGTTAAATGGTCAGTTAAAAATGCCTTAAAAAATCCGGTGGTTAATTTTTTTTAAAATCCGGAAAAACCGGTCCGGTTAACGGATTACCTGCGGTAAACCGCCGGTTTAACCATACCGGACTGTTAAATATTAAAACGCTATAACAAATATATATATATACATTCAGTCATTCACTATGGCCGACAAATACAATACATTAACTGTGAATGCTTTGCTCTTATTAATTCAGGCGTATAATCTGACTTCAGTTTGCATAATTTAAACTTCATCATTTTTGTATTCTTAAATTTATGTTTATGGGACGAAATGTGTATTTTTATGCTTATGGGACGAATTGTGTATTTTTTATTTCATTATTGTTGTTTTTCTTAGTTTTTAGGTCCAAATAATCTCTTTTGGCCCAAAATTGAAAAATAAAAATTAAGCCCACAATGAAAAAAATAAAAATTGAAGGCCCAAAACAAGGATTTTTTTTCCCTAGTTGCTAGGTTAGTTCTCTATAGTTGCTAGGTTAGTAGTTGCTAGGTTAGTTCTCTGTAGTTGCTAGGTTAGTTGTCTGTAGTTGCTAGGTTAGTTCTCTATAGTTGCTAAGATTTTTTTTTTAACCAAACAACGCCCCGGAAGGGCGGGGGATTGGGCTGGATCCACAACCTGTGCTTAGATCAAAACCCCAAAACTGGGGCCCAAAATATCAACATACTACAGTCTACAGAGTCTCACAAGCAAAACAAAAAACACAAAAAAGAAAATAATACAAAGTCTTTCATCGGGCTAACAGGTGCCAGGAAGCAAAAGTTTAATCTAATGAAAGCAATAACTTTAATCTCTGTAGTTACTAAGTTAGTTCTTTGTAGTTGCTAGGTTAGTTCTCTGTAGTTGCTAGGTTAATAGTTGCTAGGTTAGTTCTCTGTAGTTGCTAAGTTAGTTCTCTGTAGTTGCTAAGTTAGTAGTTGCTAGGTTAGTTCTCTGTAGTTGCTAGGTTAGTAGTAGCTAGGTTAGTTCTCTGTAATTGCTAGGTTCGTTCTCTGTAGTTGCTAGGTTAGTTGTCTGTAGTTGCTAAGAGCTGGTCCCATTTTAAGAGCTGGGCGCATTTTAAGAGCTGGTCCCATTTGATCCGCCCCTATATATATATATATGTTTAATATCTTACGGGTTAAGATAACGCAGTAATTAACCGAGGCCTAGTTCGTTTACGACGATCAGTATTAAACAAACTTCTCCCCTCTAGGATCCTGTTCAATACATAAATATACTAGTGCAACTAATCAGTTAAGGATAAATGTACCATTGACACAACAACCATTCAGATGGGGTATTCACTTCCATCTAGGTTGTGAACCATAATTCTTGTTTCGCAAGTAACTGATAGAATGATCTTCTGTTCACCCGATGATGACCCATTCTATCTGAGTACAAAACAACAGAACATAGAACTTGTTTAATCAAACATGATTTTCATTCATAAAGGACAAACGTGTAATATCATCCAAAGCCAAGCTTTTAGTATAAAACACTAACAATCTCTCAATTATACTTAAAGCTTTTTTTTACAAGTATAGTCTTATCAATCCATTATTCTAAAAGACCTATGTCGATCCTATTGCCATACACCTGACTCTCATTCCTTCCACGTGTTTGACAAATACCTTCCCCGACAAACTCTTCGTAAAAGGATCAGCTAGGTTGTCCTCTGATGCAATCTTGGCAACATCAACGTCTCCTCTACCAACGATATCTCGTATCAGATGGTATTTGTGCTCTATGTGATTACTTGCTCTGTGGGCTCGTGGTTCCCTTAAGTTTGCTACTGCTCCACTGTTATCACAGTACACGGTGATACAACGTGGCAAACTCGGAATCACTTCTAAGTCCACTAAGAAGTTCTTGAGCTAAACTGCCTCTTTCCCTCAGAGGCTCCCATGTAGTCGTCTTCCATTGTGGAGTCTGCCATGCATTTCTGCTTAGCACTCCTCAATGAAATGGCTCCACCTCCTAAGGTAAACAAATAACTTGAGGTTGACTTACTCTCGTCCCTATCTTACTGGAAATCGGAACTGCTGTAACTCAGGGGTAACAAGTTGTCTGCACGGTAAACTAACATGTACTCCTTAATCCTCTTCAGGTACTTGAGTATATGTTTCACCGCAGATCAATGTTCCCGTCCCGGATTACTTTTTTTTTTTTTATCGTTAAATGTAAATATATAGATCAAAGCTGAGTTCAGACAACCGGTCTACGACATACAAAAGCGTAATGGACAACCATAAGTAGGTTCCTCATTCGCAAGATAAAGATATACGAGGCTAACCACAAGTCGGTAGGTCACTCACAAGTCTCGGAAAAGGAAAAGTAAAAACTGTCCCAAGGGAGCTGGCATCTCATAGTATTGGTCAAAATGCAAAGCGGGTGCCAAGGGAGCACGACAACTCGTAGGATCAGTGGTCTTCGCGTCAGTGCCCACAATTGCGTACATAGAATAGGCCATGCTCCAAAATCTCGCGCTGCATGTCTGCCCTAGCGGCGCTAGGCGTTCGGGCTAGCGGCGCTAAGCTACGTGGCGCGCAGTTGCACGCTGAGAAAATTCCAGCGTGAAGTCGGGGTTAGCGCCGCTAGGCATGGCTAGCGACACTAAGGTTTTCGTGGCGCAATCTAGCACAGGTCGGGCGTAGTGGCGCTATGAAAAACTAGCGGCGCTAGTCGAATATGTGTTTCAGCCTCAATCCTGGATTACTTTCATATCTAGCTACCATGCCAACGGCGCAACTAATATCCATAAATAGACCGATTAAGTTTACTCACTAGATATTCATGTCCCTTATCAATGAATCCCTCTGGTTATTGCATATAGATGTCCTCCTGAAGGTTCCCGTTAAGGAAAGTCGTCTTAACATCCATCTGTCAGACCTCATAATCCATATGAGTGGCTATAGCCAAGAGAATCCGAATGCAATTAAGCATAACTACTGGCGAAAAGGTCTCATCACAATCAATACCCTCTTTCTGGGTATAAACTTTCGTAACAAGCCTAGCTTTGAAGGTTTCCACCTTCCCATCCGATCCTCTCTTTCTCTTATAGACCCACTTGCATCTAATGGGTCGTACCCCATCGGGTGGTTCTACAAGATCCCAGACCTGATTGGAGTCCATTGACCCCATCTCAGCTTTCATTGCAACATTTCATGAATCTGAATCTTTATCTTGGATTACCTCGTTGTAGCTCCTTAGGTCTGATTCTAGGTCTCCTGGAACTGAGTCTGATGACTCTCGAAGACCTATCCATCGATCGGGTAAATGAGAAACCTCCCACTACGACGAGGTACTATCTACACTGGTACACTCTCGGGGTGTCGTGTTGCAATATTATGTGATGTATCAACTTCCGCACTCGATGGAGAACTATCGACTTCACTCCCCAACTCCTCTAAGACAAGTCTACTCGCGGACTTTTGATTCATAATATAATCTTCTTCCAAGAATCCAGTCTTCGTGCTAATGATCACCTTCTGATCCTTAGGACTATAAAATAATCCAACTTTCGTTTCCTTGGGATAGCCGACGAAAACTCGTGCTACAGAACGCTTTTCCAACTTGCCAGCCTCCTGCACCAAAACGTGTGCAGGGTTACCCTACACTCGAATATGCGAAAACCCGAGCTTTCGTCCTTCCCACAATTCGTAAGGAGTAGTCTCTACTGACTTTGATAGAACCAAGTTCAGAATGTACAAAGCTGTTTCCAATGCCATACCCCAGAACGAATCTGGCAACCATCAATAACTCATCATCGACCTAACCATTTCCATAAGAGTCCTATCTCTTCGCTCTGCAACCCCGTTCTACAGGGGCGTGCCGGGTGCAGTCAGTTGGGATTCAATCCCAGCTTCTGATAAGTATGTCCTGAACACTCCAAAGAGGTATTCGCCACCTCGATCATATCAAAGCGACTTGATACTTATACCATGAAGCTTCTCCACAACTGCCCGATATTCCTTGAATTTCTCAAAACATTCGGACTTGCGGTGCAACAGGTAAATGTACCAAAATCTCAAGTAATCAATAAAAAAGGCAAAGTACTTGTAACCACCTTTAGCCTGGATAGACATAGGACCACACAAATCAGAATGAATCAATCATAGAACTTCTTAGCTCCTATACCCCTTTGCAGTAAATGGCCTGTTGGCCATCTTACCTTCCAGGCATGATTTGCAAGTCGGATAATGATCTTCTAATGGACCGAAATGTTCACTACATACCAACTTTTGAATCCTCCTAAGGTTGACGTGCCCAAGTCTAAGGTGCCAAAGATATGTTTTATTCATCTGCGAAGACTCTTTCCTCTTATTAGAT